TGACATGTACTCGCCCAGATGTGGCTTTTGCTTTGAGCATGGTAAGTCGATATCAAGGGAATCCTGGTAGAACTCATAGGATAGCAGTAAAGAACATTCTTAAGTACCTGCGAAGGACTAAGGACTGGGTCCTTACCCTCGGTGGGAGTAATGACATGAGAGTGACAAGGTATAGTGACGCCAGCTTTTAGACCGACAGAGATAATTTCTGCTCTCAGTCGGGCTAGGTATTTACCCTAAATGGAGGAGCAGTAACATGGAAAAGTTCCAAACAGGAGACTATAGCTAATTCAACGTGCGAATCAGAGTACATAGCAGCAAGAGAACCGTCGAAGGTGGCAATATGGCTAAAGAACTTCATCGGAGACCTTGGAGTTATACCAGCTGTAAAGGAGCCTATGGAGATTTTCTGTGACAACGAGGGTGCGGTCGCCTTAACCAAGGAACTGAGGGATCATGGCAGATCCAGGCACATCGACAGAAAATATCACTTCATAAGACATCGAGTAGAATAGGGACTCCTCGTAGTGAAGAGGGTATCGTCAAAGGATAACCCAGCAGATCCCCTTACGGAGGGACTGAGTAGGGTTAAGCATTTGCAGCATGCTAAGAGCATGGGCCTATGGGACGATATTAGTTTTAGTGATTAGATAGGCAGTTAGAAACTTGTAATAAATAAATGTAACTGACATTTGATGATTAAATAATAATCGTTTTATTTATAAGTAAAGTTTACTGTCTTCTGTCAATTGTTTATTTTATGTTTTGCTTTTGCATGTTTTGACTTCCAGAATAATATCATTATTCGTACTATCCACAGTCGATCATATTTTGGAAGTAGGTTATGAAATTAGACTATCATGAATTGGCTTGTAGATTGTCTAAGGTGTTTAGACATAGCAAAGGTTTGCTACAACGTTCATGAGTGCTCCTGAAATAAGATTTGAGTATTGGATTAAACTCACGCTCACATGAATCACTTCATGGAATTTATAACGAGTGATGATGAGACGGTAATATCGTATAGTCTTCAAACCAATATATATGAGTTGTTGATTATGAGTTGGTTGTGCATTGATAGTACGAAAACACATTAGTAACTTGATGTTATAAAACATGTTGTTGTGTATAATTTAACAAGTAATTAGTACAAGCATATAAGTCGAAGTTTATCTGTTCCTTTTATCCTAAGAGGATTAAAAGCGATATCTTGGGCCCCTCGATGATTTTGTTATGACTTATGTGTCGGGCCCGGTCAGGACTCAATTGATTTGTTCAATTAAGTTACATGTCAAACAAGTCAGAAATCGGGAAACAAATTGTTAGAAAATGAGTATGACTTTATTCCATGTCTTTGTCCACACGATATCTTGAAGAACAGAGGATCATATGATCCCTTATCTAAAGGATGAGTCATTTACTTGATCAGAGTTGGAAAGCAGCTTTTGAGAGCTACGATTGCTAATCGGATTATGAAGTTGCATTGGCAGTTATAGTTAGTAGACTTATCCAAGTGGAAGACTGTTGGATTAGGTGTCTAAGCCCATAACTATAATTGGTATGTACGTGACCCGATAGAAGCATGGTCCTGTTGGGTCGCCTTCACCGGAGCAATTTGATAGGATGGATATTTGAGAAATAGGTTATTTATGATTTATTAATATATTATATGAATAATATGATAATTGAGAAATCATATTATTTAGTTGGTATTGATCAAGAATTAATTTGGAATTAATTTAGTGATCAAAAGAGATTGATTAAATTTACGGGGACTGATTAGGTAAATTAGTGATACTAATAGTTTGGGCCAATGATCCATGTTGATTAGGCATGGACTAAACCTATATGAGAGTCCATTAGGATTTAGTCCAAAGGGCCATCAAATGTGAAGAGTCATGGTGAATTAGGGTTTACATGTATGAAACCCTAGGAATTCCAAGCCATAAAAGTAACCCCTAGCATCACTAAAATTGACCATAAGAATTCCAAGGTGAAACCCTAGCCGATTTGTGCTTCCTAACCACTCTCTCACAAGCCTCCTTTTGCATTTGGTGTTTGTGACTTATTTGAGGTATCACATTTGAGGTACTAAGTGTTGGGTTTTAGCATACTACAACATCCTATGGTGCACATACAACCCTAAATGCTTTGGATCTATGTTTTCTCTAATTATACATGCAATATTGTTTCCAAAGCATTAAGCCTACAACTAGCCTACAATTGACATAAATAACATAGAAATGAGTTATGGAATTACCTCTTTGTTGTAGCTTGTAGTTTTGGTCTTTAAGAACTTAGCACCTCAAATGTGATGCCTCAAATGGTTCACAAACACCATGAACAAATGGAGGACTTTTAAGAGAGGATACGGAGCACTAAAATTCGGCTATGCTTCTCCAAGAATACATATTCAACGAACTTTAAGCCAAAGGGGTGTCATATATATATATATATATATATATATATATATATATATATATATATATATATATAGTGTAGGAATCCAAGAGTCATGGGTAAACCCTAATCCATACACTTGGGTTTTGATCCATATTTCATGTGGGCTAACTTTTCATGTATACTTACATAAACTTAGCCCATCATGGATCAATAGCCCAAACAATATATATATCACTGATTTACATAATCAGTCCCCGTTAATTTAATTAGTCTCTTTTGATCACTAAATTAATTCCAAATTAATTATTGATCAATACTAATTAAATAACATGATTTCATATTAATATATTAGAACTTATAATATAGTAATAACTCATAAATAACCTCTTCTCAAAAGTCCATCCTATTAAATTGCTCTGGTGAAGGCAACCCAAATGGACCATGCTACTCTCGGGTCAAGTACATACCAATTATAGTTATGGGCTTAGACACCTAATCCAACAGTCTACCACTTCGATAAGTCTAATAACTATTATTGCAAGTACGTCTCCACAACCCGACAAGCTATCGTAGCTCTTAAAAGCCGCTGTCGAACTCTGACCTAGTCAATGACGCGTCCATTAGATAAGGGATCATATATTCCTCCATTCTACAAGATATCATATGGACTGAGACATGGATTATAATCATTCTATATGTCCATCTGTTGTTTCTTAATTTCCAATTGATGATGACTGACTAATTGAACAAATCAAATCAGTCCAGGCTTGGCCAAGCGCTTAGGGTGTCATCACTAAATCATCTAGGGGCCCACATATATCGCTTTTATCCCTCAAAGGGTAAAAGGAATGGATAAACTTCGACTCATATGATTGCTATATTTACTCATTAAATCACACACAACAATGCGTTTTATAACACTAAGTTACTGGTGCTTTTACGCATCATCAATGTGCAACCGATTTGTAAGATACAACTCACACGTCTCTGTTTTAAGAATATAAGATAGTATCGTCTCACAATCACTCGTGATAAAATCCATGAAGTGATTCAGATGAGTGTGGGTTTAATCCAATACTCGAATCTTATTCCAGGAGTACTCATGAACACTACAGCAAACTTGTGCTATGTATAAAACACCTAGACAATCTACAGTCAGATTCATGACAGTCTTGTGTCAATACCTACTTCGAAAGTATGATTGACTGTGGATAGTTTGAATAATCTTATTATTCTGGAAGTCAAAACATGCAAAGTGAAACACAAGAATAATTGAATCCAATATGGTCTCGGAAATTATGAATATAAATTAAACACCTTTTATTTAATCACCATATTGATTACAAATTATTCATTGTATAATGTTTCGATTAATCAACTTAATACTTGAATTAAAACAATAGTTATGCCATGCTGCAAGCATGCACACTACGTTTGCCTATGGTCCTCTCTTTGTGAAATAGATCAATGGACAACATTTCAATGATGCTCATTTCGTAATTCCAAATCCTTATCGTAAATGTAAGAATACCAAATTCTCGCCATTTGCTAAAATTTGTTAGATTCTAAACTTATATGCAATGATCCTCTTGTAATGACTATGCACAAAAGTCATAGAGACTTCGCAACAGACATTAAAAAGTATTCCAATGGAGAGCAATTCCATGGTAACGAAGTCTCATATTCAAAGTACATTCCTTTGAACATCGTTCTTGCATTAAGTTTTCTAATCTTACATAGATTTTATTATTAACTTCCACTTAAGGTAACATTTCCATATTCCCATTTTGACTATCACTTCTGAACAAGAGTTACCTCTTCTCAGAGTATGTCAATATGGTCCTTCCAAAATTTACACTTTACTTCCAACTGTCCATGTGCAACCAATCATTGCTAAACCTCAGCTTGTCCTCGACAATTGCTTAACCATTTTAGTCATATCTCGTTCTAGTCCCTTTTCCCTCTTAATGCCCTAGGCATATGGAAAATTAGAACATATTAATATTATCACTACTAGAAAAACAACCTTTTATGACGCACAATGTGTGTCGTAAAACGCTCAGATGACGCGCAGATGCGTGTCAAGGAAGGCCTTGTCATAACGAGAGACGACACGCTTTTGCACATCGTCTATTTAAAACGCGCATTTACGACACACATTTACGACCCTCATTTACGACACGCAATGTGTATCAAGGAAGGCCTGTCATAATGGAAGACGACACACATTTGCGTATCGTAACCTTACGACGCGCCTTTAGGGCACCCATTGCGTATCATTAAAGCCCCTGTCATAAATGAAGATGACACGCATTTACGTGTGATAAACTTTAGCAACCATTTACGATATGCATATACGACGTTCCTTTACGATACTCTTTTACGCATAATACAAAAATATAGAAACACATATATACCAACACAATCAATTTCATCCAATAACATCATGTCAAAAAATGTAATACATTGACATTAAACGGATCTGATTGTACATTGTTATTAAGAGGTTTTCCCTAACTATATAACCTAATACTACATTGCTATAAAGGGGCACCTTCTTGTTTCAGTAACTCGTCATTAAGCTGTCTGAAGAAGCTCTAAAACCCTTCATGTATCCAACCAATCATCATGTCTCTTAGCTTCAATATCAATCCCAACTCTTGATCAAGAACAACACGGAAATCCTACACAATAATCATGTCAGTTGTACAATATCAATATCAACTAATTAATAATACACATGGTATGTATGAGAGTGGAATCAAAATGATCTACCAATAAGAGTTTTGTACTGCCTTGAATCAAAGTATTTTTGGTGGCCTCAAGGGCAGCTTCCAAAGGATACTCCTTGCCTGTGCCATTTTCCTTTTGAATTTGTAGGAGACTGTCTAGCAGTTCAAATCAGAAAATAAAACCAATGAGTGTTATGCAAAGTGTTTAAATTAAATTAATTGACAAAGCTAGCTTAATTACCTCTTTTTCACCAATGCAAAGTTCAAGAAACTCCAAATCAGCAATAGGGACACCAGGTGCATTGAAGTTTGAAATTGTAGCTATTGATTGAGAAGCTGTTAATTTCATATCATCAGAAACTATAAATGTTGCTTGTTCTTTAAGGAATCGACCTGGGATTATGTAAATATTACCAAAATATGAGATCCTCATATACAAGCAACTTATAAATTTATAATATGCACTGATTAAATAAGAGGAAACTGAATATTATTTAGTAATGAGCTAATATCAGTTTATCAAAAATAGAAAATCCTTCAGATGCTTCTTCAGCCAGAACCTGATTCAGATACAACAAGTGTGGTCAATATGTTGACTTTATGGACATAAAATATTGATTAAACGTACTTAAAAACTTACCATGGGTAATTTTGAAGGGGAAAAGTTCCCCTTTTTCTACTCCCTACATAAAAACATAAAAACTTAATTGGTAAAATATCAAATGTGACATAAACCCTTAAATCAAAATGCACGAGATATCCCTCTTCCAAACTCAATCTCTAGCTCTGCCTTTTTCATAGCAAGTGCTAGCTTATTCTTTACCACCTCCACACATATACCAAGACCAGAAACCTGAAAATAGATAAATTTCCTTTTATTATTATCATTATCATTATAATAAAACAATTATTATTATTATTCTAAATCTTTTCCTAAGTCTTGAGAAATCCTTTTCTAGCAATTCTCATCCGTACAGCTGAATAAAATGGCAAGGCGTTTCCATCACATGTCACCTCATTTACTTTAAGTCCCTCTTGGCGTGATCTCAAATTTGATCTCACCTGAAAACAAGAGTAACAATTGGCTATGACATTATGACATATTTAAAACTATTTAAAATGATTTTATAACTATATATAATATACTAACCTGATTTATAAATATAATAAGAGTATCTGAACGACATAAAAAATAAAGAATCTTGCGAAGTGCTCGTGTCATTATTCGTGATTGTGTCTCAATGATATTGTCACTTATTACACATGTAATTTCACGTTGTGGGATGAGTGTAGCAACCTATAAAAATAAAGTCAATGAATTAGAAAACCAAGACAACAATTGGACAAAAGATTTGTAGGGGTGAGTTTGATGAAGAAGAGAGGAGGGCATTCATGTCTTTTGCAAAGATTTTTCCTTACACTGTTGATGACAATCACATCAACTCCTCCACTCTGTGCGAGAGTGTCAACAATACTCAGCAAATTTTCAGCAGAATTTGGCTGTGAGATGAGAAGACTTTTGGTATTTACACCAACTGTTTCAAGCAGCAGTGGGTCTAGTGCATTCTCCACATCCAAGTAAGCATAATAACCTACCAAAAATAACTTCTAATCATCATAAAATGTGAAACACCTCCAAGCTTTTGAGGTCCCTTGATTACATTCAAAGCAAGTGTTGTCTTGCATGATCCCTCTTGCCCATAAACCTCAACAATTATTCCCTGTAATGTACAGTTTGGTTGTTATTATTCTAGGGTTCACAATGATTAACTATTATGTATGTGTATAATTTGCTAATACCATATAAGAAGCTAGTAATTACCTTTGGTAATCCTCCAATTCCAAGAGAAAGATCAAGTTTCAAGGAGCCTATGGATACTACAGGTTTCACTCTTGTACGAAAAAATCGCTGCAAGAACAACATAGATTCCCCATCAAAATCACCTACAAGTTCTGATAGGGCTGAATGAAGAGGTGTATGCTTTTCTACAGCTTTAATATCATCATGAAGTTTATCATCTTCAAGGTCTGAAGCTTCAACTGCAAGAATATAATAGTAAATGACAAGAAAATTTATACCAATATGAGATTATAACTGACATGGACAAATTTATACACCCTCAGATAAGCTGATCACAACTTCATAATGACCCTCCATGGGATTTGGCAGGAATTGGAATCCAATTCCGCATGGCAACTACAGATTATTATAGAGTTAATCTAATAAACTTGAGATGTAAGTTAATGTGACTGTATCATCCCTACCAACTATGCACGATTCAATGTCTATCCTACCAACTATGCACGATTCAATGTCTATCCCTACCAACTATGCACGATTAATCAATGTCCTTTGTATGTAATATGAAAAGAAAGAAAATGAACTAAACTTGGCTAGACCTCCAACTTCCTATGTACAGACTCCATTCCATTTATCTGGCAGTCTGCCTAATCTTGCTCATCCGCTTCAGTGTTGTAACGCCCCGGTTTTTTCTCGGTACGTTTAGTTATTTTAATTTAATTATTCTTGTAACCTTGGGTTAATTTATTTAACCAAGGTCTGATTTCTTAGGTTATTGGACTCTTTTGATCATCTTGTAAACTCCTTTTATTGAAGTCCATGGGCTATGGGCCTATTTGCAAAGTCTATCTAGTAAATAGTACTTAATGTGTTAATTGAGTCATTTGGAACACACACAAGAAAAACACTCTAAACCCTACTCTCTCTCTCCCTCACAACCGTCCTTCTCTCTCTCTTTGGGATCAAGAGCAGCCAAGGGGATGTTGCTTGGAGCTTAATTCTTGTTCATTTCCAGCCTTGATTCATATTGGTATGAACCTCCTTATCATTTCTTACAACTTGATTCATAACCTTGTTCTAGTTTTATGATTTCATCTTCACTTCTACTCCTTCTTATTTGATTTGTATCTCTTTTGTTATTTGCAAAGAATGGTATGTTATACATCATCTCAAGATCCTATCTTCACCCCATATATGGTGTATTATGGATCTAGGTGATTACATGTTGCAAAAGATCATGGAAACCCTAAAAGGGAGAATGGTGATTTTATGTGCTTTATGTTTATTTTCATGTTGATTATTATTACATTCTTGTGGCTAAATGAAATCCTAATGATCCCTAACCCTTTTTAGTACCACCATGATCATGGGGACTGAATTGGGATGATGAACACATCTTAAAAAGTGTTTCAAAGGGAGAAGGATGGATAAGCCAAAAAGGAATCACGGGTGACTACAATTCTGTTTATCATCAGATCTGTAGTCATTTTGTAAAAATCATATCTTGAGCTCTAGAACTCAAACGGACCCCAAACCAGTGCCCAAAGTTCACAAATTGAGTTCTATAACTTTCTTGAGGAGGATAACCTCACTGATAAGGACTTTATCTATGGGTAAGAATGGCATCCTTGCTGTTAGGTCCGATCCGGGTCTGTTCTGATATGTCATTTGGATTTCATCATTTCTAAGGCTTGGAAAAGGATCCAGAGTGATTCCAAGTTTCTATATGTTCCTTATATTATTCATTTAAGATATGGAGTAGATGAGGTGTTGTTTCCAATTATAAATTGGTTATAATGGATCCACACTCTAGATCAGTGGGCAGTCACCAGCTTTTGCTAGTGCTGTGATTCTCCACAATGTGAATTTTATATCCGGATCTTGGGAAATGATTTTCCTTCAATTCAAACTCTGAGACTTTCATATGTATGTCCTTTACTTCCCTGAATTTTGGTTTGGACGAATTCTACTCAAAAGTTAGGTATAATTGGCCAACATCACTTGACTATCCTGTTGGAGACAGCAGTGATACACCTTTTTGTAAAATTCATATTTAATTCATCCTTTGGAGTTAGAAGGAGTTCTTTATAGTTATGGAATTATGAACAATCATAGCTTCCTATAAAATTTAGTTAAAGCTATGTTTCTGTTTTAGATTTTGGAGTAAATCCGTTTTGAACAGCAGGTCTGTTTCAGAGACCTTGCTGTGATTACTCTTTTCTCAACTCATAGCTTCATTACTTCTCCTTTCTAACCTTTAGTCCTTCTTAGGTTAGGTTTTGAAGTTTTCTCAAGCTTGGTAGCCTTATTTGATTGTTAGCTATCCTTACTACTCACTCAAGGTGAGTTCTCTCACACCGTTGTATTGATGTTTGTGTTTGCTAGTTAGCTCGTGTGTGATTATTTGAATTTATTATAAAGGCATGCTATATAACCATTGTTTTAATTCGTACATGTGCACCGTATGTAACTAATTATGCATATGGGGACACCACCAAAGGATATGGATTTACCGGTGCGGTGGGTAGGTAAGATCACCAACGTAATACTCATCGTGAGGTGCGGTGATTAGGGCCAAATATTATGGGATCTTCCCGGTGCGGTTCAAACCTACAAGTCCTTCTTGTATTACAGGCATTGATTCGTTCTTTGTCCTTATTATATAATTATAATTGGAAAATGGGTTAGAGTTAGTTAATATGAATGTTAGTACAATGTATGTGTTTGAATTCACTAAGCTTTGTGCTTACGGTTTCCCTTATAACTTTTCAGGTGTCAAGATTAAAGAGGCTAAGGCTTGAAATGGAGCACCGGGACATCGCTACTAGTTATTTTTGTTGGGACCATATTATTGTTGTTTCTTCCGCACTTATTTTATATGATTTTTAAGTTTGATGGATTGTGTTATGACTTTTTCAGTTATTTGATTTAATTTAAGATGAGTTTTAAAAGTTTAAAATTTTTGCAAAAAATTTGGGTGTCACAAGTTGGTATCAGAGCCACAGTTTGAGGGAACTAGGCATTCTTGTGGATGTTCTAGACTCAAATTTGAGGCTCTATAAGAGTTTATTTTCTTTTTAAAAAGATTTTTCAAATCTTCTGAAGACTAGTAGTGGGAGATGTCGCGGTGTGCCAGTCAGCCAGGCAAGTAAGCCTTATTTCTTATGTTAAATGTTTATGTTAAATTGTTGACTATGAATTGGATTCTACTAGCCTTAAAATGTTAGATTACACACTTAGTTAGTGTTAACATGTGAGAGAGTTGTAAAATTTAACGGCTAGAGCGAACTGGAAATTTTGAAACTAGATGCAAATGCGAAATTGGAACTTGTGTGGAAGGTACTAGAAGGGCCCCTACTATTTGACACATCGGTGCCGGTTTCGGGTCGGGGCAAGGTTGAAAATTTTTTGGCAAGCTGAGTGTTTCGTCTTCCTAGAAATATCTAGGCTGAATTCTTTCTAAATATTTTCCTTCTTCTGCGGATACAGATGGCTCCGCCTGCTCGACTTAATCAGCTCCAAATGGAGCAAGTTAGGGATATTGTCGCTGAGGAATTCAATAACGCTTTCAACGAACTAATCCCGGGTGTGACCAATGACATAATCAACCAAGTCGGTGCTCTACTGGATGAGCGCCTCGCGGCTATTCCCGGGGGAACGTTACCGGCTCCGCCTGTTTGGGATTCGGCATACTACTTCGAGAAGTTCAACAAGTGTAGCCCTCCTCTTTGGAACGGTGAATCCGACCCAGTTGCTACTAAGAACTGGGTGTCAGATGTTGAGGGCGCCTTCATGACTGTTGGGTGTCCAGACCAGTACAAAGTAGTGATCGCCATGAATCAGCTGCGAAAAAGGGGAAAGACATGGTGGAACACCATCACCGCTCTATTAAACGAAGAAAAGTGAGGGCCATGTTTTGGGCCCAATTTGTGGAGATGTTCGAGGCACAATATGTGCCTAAGGTGGAGCAGCAGCGAATGCAGCAAGAGTTCATGGCCTTACAGCAGACTACCGAGTCCGCTAGCGACCTGAATGCCAAGTTCTTGGAGATGCTATCTTTTTGCCCCTCGTTTGCTGGGAACGAGGCCTGGTTGGTCAGCCGATACACTGCCATTCTACGTACCGAGATTCAGGAATTCGTTAGCATGCAGGAGTTCCCGACTTTATCCGCGATCATGGATGCAGCGAGGAGGAGGGAAATCGAGTTGCAGACCCAGTTCAAGAGGAAGGCCAATGACACCACTTCCAAGACATCCGGAGATGCCCAGAAAAAGCAAAAGCAGGGTGGTAAGTCAAGGTATGAGTACAGGCCGTCTTCAGGTCAGGGCGAGAAAAATCCGTTGATATGCTACAACTGCAAAAAGCCAGGGCATCATTGGAAGAATTGTAGGGCTCCCCCTGCGAGTGCAGTTCCTCAGATTACTTCTGTTGTTCCCGTCTGCTATCACTGCAACGAGACGGGACACAAGAAGCCCGAATGCCCAAAGTTGAAGACTGGTAAAGGAGACGGGGGTACAAATACCGCAATTGCATCGTCTTCTAAGGGACCCACTATGGTGACACGAGGACGTGCTCACCAGATGGTTGCGGAGGAGCCGGTGATTACCGCGACAGTGGCAGGTAAAATTTCTTTTTTTTCCTTTCTCTCCACCCTTGCATTATTTAATAACTGGTAGTTAGAATTGTTTACATGATTGTATGTGGTGAATTAGGCACTTATTTGCTAGATTCCGAGCCCGCTGCTATTATGTTTGATAGTGGTGCTACCCATTCTTTTGTATCTTGGACGTTTATTAATCGTTTGGGGCGTAGTATCGGAAAATTGGCTCGCCCAATGGTTGTCGAAGTTGCCGACAACCGCACTATTTATGTCACCGATGTTTATCGAGGTTACACTCTCGAGTTTTCTGGAGTTGAATTCCCCATTGATCTTATCCCTATTGCGATGCGAGAGCTCTGCGTTATCGTAGGCATGGATTGGCTTGATGCGTTTGATGCGGAAATCCACTGTCGTAAGAAGCAAGTTCGTGTTCAAAACCCTAGAGGTGGAGAACTTATTATTCAGGGGGACATTCCCCGCCTGGCCATGGCTTCTTGCTCTTCTGCTATAGCACTAGACGACGTTCCTATCGTTTCCGACTTCAGTGATGTCTTTCCGGAGGAACTCCCTGGCTTGTCACCTATTCGGCAAGTGGAGTTTCGCATTGATTTGGTGTCGGGTGCGACTCCGGTAGCTAAATCTCCTTACCGCTTGGCACCACCTGAAATGAAAGAGCTCCAAGATAAACTTCAAGAACTAAGTGATCAAGGGTTTATACGGCCAAGCTGCTCGCCTTGGGGTGCTCCTATTTTCTTTG